AATGTGTAGGTGTTGTAGGAAGAACAAGTGATGTGCACGGCACAAATAATATATGTTATATCTAGGGCTCGGATTCTGATGACATGCCATCTTTTCATCGGTGCCCTTTATACGTAGATAACTTGTAAATGAATGTTTATCAAGATATATAGGTGATAGAAATGTACAGTTATTGGGTCATTTTTTACCATTTTTCAAATTTTAGTTCTTTTTTTTACCTTTGCTGTAATTTTTGTCAATTTACGCATTTTGTGTCCTTTTTGTGTTTTTTGTTAGAGAATTTTCATGAACTTACAGTGACACACTAAAGCAAAATTTTCATTGTATCATCAGTTTATGATGAAATTCTCTACTGTAGTGGACTCTTGATTTTCAAACTCTCAAAATTATAGGGTTCTTTGGTAACTTCCTTGGCCTTTCAAAACTGACAGTTGGACGATCGGCAGTAAGGATTATGTTTCCTGCTAAAATAAAGAATTTATATTAAATGTAATTTTATTTAAATAAATTATATTTAAAATTGTAAAATTCATTGAATAAACATTTTTATACCACTTTTTTAGTATTGTTTGAAAAATTAGGTCATTTTCCCATTATTGTAAGTTGTTTTTGGTAATTTTCCTTTTATCTTAAGACATTTTCTGATCATTTTCAAAGAATTTTTAGGTCATCAAAATCTGAGCCCTGGTTATACCACATAACAAGTGTTATATTTCGTATTGTTATTTAAATTTATTTACGTTAACAATTTTGAAAACAAGAAGCACAGATAGTCATTTGTTTGTCATTTAAGGTGTTTAAAAATTTTTTGAAACATTAGTTTCATATGAACCGAAAAGTCTTGTCTTCTTGTTAAGCCTTTGTCTCTTGCCATTTTTATGCAATATGTGTGTGCATGTGTACTGCCTGTGGATGCATGTGTGTGCATAATATTTGAAATTAAATTATTCAGTGAATAGATGTAGAAAGAATCTAAAATTGAATTACAAGAAATGTCATTAGTGTATCATTAATGTGATTGTATTACAAAAAATCTGTCTATATTTTGGGGACTGATTTCCTCTACAATTAAATTGATGGGTCTTTTCACTCTCCTTTAACATTGAAAGAAATCGAAAACTCCAGCCTTTACAAGGGATTAAGACATATGGCAACTAGGTAATCGGGTACTGAAAATAATATTTCTTCCTTTCAAAACTTTAGTAATTTATTTTCAGATTCTGAATAATGGTTTACACTCCTTGTCAAAACAGTTGCACCTAGATTTGTGTAGCAGTAGTGCTGATATTTGGTAGAAAGAAAAGGTCGCTGAGCACAGTAAGTGATTAGCATTTTCCAGTGCAATATGAGCACTATTTCATGTGTTAACGTATGGTGTCATTCATTATGCCGTCAGTGTCTAAATGCACTCTGCCAGGTGTCGCAGCATGGACTTGTTTAGATCTCTAATTCTGTTCTGTGCTACCCCATCTTCAACAGCTTCTTCACAGTTCCTCTGGGTTTTGTTGTAAGGGTGATTACTGATCACAGAATAACACACTCTCTAGCATCCCACATTTACTATTAAGAAAAAGTATGACAATGCCGCTGACCACCAGCTGATTCAGTCAGCATGGCCGTCGAAGCTGCGGCAGTTTGCGGATGTGCTGTCAGAACTTGTGTTTGAAATAAATGTATTTTTCAATGAAAATTAGTTTCATAACTATGTGAAAAGCGCATATTTTCCTTAGTTTTGATGTTTTCCCTTTGGCAAAAGAGTGAACTCAGAACAGTTGTGTACATTCACAAACTGAAAGGACTCTGGTTGTTACACTTTGTGGACATAATGTTGCTTGGCTAATATTATGCTCATAATGAAGATCAATGCAACTTAGAATCATATGAAATTGTGTCCCATAACAGGGGACCTAGTTGTTAAGACATTTGTCATTAAACCGTTTTTGAACACATTGCCCTCAGCAATGAATTCATTTGTCTTCTCCACTAAGAGTAAAGGCACTCATCCAAAGCCTATGTTAACACATGATCTCAAAGGCCCCAGGCTCAGAGCCCCCAACGCTTAAGGGCCCCTGACAGTTCGTAAAAACATTATTTCATGCTGAATTTTAAAAAAAATTAAATTAAAAAAAGCATACAAAAGTGATATAAGATTAAATTACATGCAAAAAATTGGCATAAAGGAGTGATGTGTCACACCTCATTGGATAATATTTTTAATATGGAATGTTGCTGGTTGATGAGAGAATGTCACCCAGTAAAGAGAAGTTTAGTTTATTCCAGGTTTAATAAAAATCATGAATTAAGAAATCATATTTTTAAAATTTAAATCAGATTTTTTTAAATTAAAATTATTTATATTGTCTGATAAATAGTTATAAACCTATTTTGTTACATAAATTACTAGTATTCTGTTGAAAATTAAATGACTAGTGTTCGTGTTTGGAAGAAAAATTCCTGAAAGTTTTTTAAAGATAATCGAAACACTTATTAAGCTAGAAAATAGTAAAATAATATTATTTTGATTGTATTTATTTTTTAACATTTTATAAATTTCTTTAATTTTTTCTTTCCAAAGTTTACTGCCACCACCTGAAGATAATGTAAGGAAAGTAGATGAAGTTGAGAACTGGGATGCCTCTGATGATTCTGACAGTCATTTTGACCCAAATTGTAAGTTTATTATTAACAATAAAGTAATACTTTTATTTGAATTCTTTAAGATCTTTAACCTATTTCCTCTTTTCAGTTCGAAAAATTAAGAAACCAGCATCTTATGGACCTTCTCTTTTGGTTTATGATGTTGAAAATGCAAGTCCTGAACATTTCTGCCCTGCTGACATCCATTCAAAGCCAATTCGACGAGGCAGAAGGTTCCAGGAAATAAAGCCTGTTGCTGAAGGCCAATTTGATGATGCTGACATATAGTGTGAATAATATTTATTACAATAATAACAGGGTGACCACTTTGTACAAAACATGGAAAACCAGGAGGGGCAATTTTCAGAAGCTTCTAAATCTACGTATTTTTTCTTAAAAACATTAGTACAGCATTATGCTTTGCTCAGTTTTTATTTGTTGAGAACTAATTGTTAATTTGTACTTTCTCTTTGCAAAATTAGAGAGCTGACCAATTAGTATCTGACTGGGTTTAATACTTTCTTTAATTAGTCTGAAATTAAAAACCTTTTCATAAAAAGGTTTAAAAAATACATTGCAATACCAGGAATAGTCAGGGAAATTTGTACCAGGAAATGAGTGGCCAACCTGTAAAATATATATTGGTATATAAATATTATATATTGATGTAATTACTTTCACCATCACTATTTAGTGGTAATTCAAAAAATTACATCAGAATATGATAGAAAAAAAATTATTTTCTTTGGTACTTGCACTGTGATATTTTCTGTATATGTAGTAATTATAGAAGATTAAAAGTTCTGTTAACATAGGCCTTACATGTTTTGTTTGTTTTAGAAGTCTGTTTACAAGTAAGACATTTTTGTATTGTAGTAATAGTATTAAAATAAGTAACAAAGTTATTTTGTATTTTCTATTACAAAACTGACCATCCACTAGAATGCCATTTGCAATTTTACATGCAATTTACTATAATTAGAAATGAAATGTCTTTATAAGCATATTATGTGATCTAATTGTAATAATACCAGCATTGGGCAAAGAAAATTAGGAAATTAAAATTTTAATCCTTTATGGCCTAAATAAATTCTACTATAATAGAGGTTATTTTAAATGAAGGGAAAAAATGTCATTGAATATGTATGTGAAGCTACACCAATGTGTATTTTTCTATTAAAAGAGTACACAAATTTTAATTTGTGTTATTTGCTTCATATGGCACACAAGCCACATCTAATCTAATCTAACCATTTTTTATCTGTAATTTGAGTCATAATTAATGAGTTTGAGATGTATGGTAATTAGTTAACTGTTTATAATTATTTCTGTTAATTCATTTGTAAATAATTTGTTTCAATTATTGGTAAAAACATTTCTCATTCTTGAACTTAGAGATGGGGTGCATGCTAGTTTTCCAACTACACATGCCAGTATTGACATACCACAATACTAGAGCATTGCTTTAAACAAAAATTTATTAATATTAAATTGTGCAATGAACTATAGAATTATTGGATGTGTTTCTCTGTAGATAAGTGATGCAAGAAAATTAATTAAATCTTTTCAACTTATTTCTTGTTCTTACATTTTTAATACTGTAAATAGTAAATTTCACTTGAAAGAAGATTAATTGTAATCAGTCTTCAGTCACATAAGATTTCAAATATAATATTTTATGAAGTAACTTTTCCAAAATAATAATAAAAATAACTTTATTAGAAATATTTATAAATACCTTAGAAGAGATAAATGTATTTTTTGTTGAGATTGATTTGAAATGTGTTCATTAAATAGAAACAATATCCACATAACACTTGTTCTGTGTACATTGTATCTATTATTTGAGTATATATAAACAGGGTTCTAAACTGTGTGCGTAGAAGGTGATCTACTATAACCTATTGCATTAGAAATGGCTGTGTTTACAGTGCAAGCTAATTATAAAGATGTGTGTGCATGCAACAAACGCAATTCAACAACAGTGTTTATTAAAACCAGTAGTGGAGATAGTTTATTATTTCTGTTTACAAGAAATATTTCATTTTGTAGACACAACATATTTTACGGTCTACATTACTATATATGCATGGAACTTCTGTGATAAATATTTTACCTATTAAGTATTGTAGATCTCTTCATGTTCTTCAACAGTGATCTTTGACCAATTTTATAAACTGTTGATAACATTTAAATTTATAGAATTCATATAATCATTGTTGTATGGTAACTATTTTATTAGAGCTAAAATCCTAAAGAGTAAATCATCTTTGTGCAGCTAGTATCTGGTTCCTTCCCCTCCTTAAGTGTAGAAATATCAAGTTCATACAATTTTGTTTACTGAGAAGTTTCAATTACATGTTTAGTCACTCTCTAATGTATTTACAAAGAAATGCTTTGTTTTATATTCTCACATAACATGAAATTGGCAAAAAGTCAAGTTTGAAAATCAAGTTATATTTCTTTAAATTGCAAGTCAACTTCTTAAAATTTTAATCAACCTTTCTGGTGAACGATACTGTATATACCTGACCAAACAGGATTTAAATATAAATATTGAATCCTATTTGTTTTTGTTTTATAAGTAATTATAAAAAATTAGTATTTCAACTATTGAGAAATTATATTGCCCCATGTGAGTTAATTATTTATTCAGCTATCTGTGATCTAAATTATTATAATTACAAATAGTACAAATATTTTGAAGAAAGATTAAATAATATATTTGTGACAAATTATTTAGTAGTGATTTCATTAAATTTGTATCTGTGCAATGTAGATAGTTTTGTAGTTCCATAAAATTTGTAATTTTTTGTTTTGTGTAGATATATATTGATGATCAGTGACATGTTCATAATAAGTGTCTTGGGTGTAATGAAAATACATAAGTAACTTTTTTGTGTATCATGATTCTCTAAATTATTCACTTCATGGTAGATATTTGTGAACATTTTCCATGACGAATAGTAAATGGACGCACAGGTGGTAATACTTTTCTCTTTCTTCTTCTTTTTTTTAAAGAAGTTGGGTGGATGAAACCATGGCTTTGTCTCTGACAAGGTTCGTTTTTGAAAAATTGCAAATAAAAAAGAGAAAACTTGATCATGATTCAGTTCTTAAAAATAGTTGGAAATGAAAATGTATAAAACTATAAAATGTTATAGTAAGTACATTATCCTGTCTTTACAGCAAAATTAACAGCAGATGGAATATCACTGAAATGTAAAGTAAGGGTTTTATTTGAGCTTGTATATTAATGATATTGTTTGTTTTTAAAGGACTCATATTTTCTGAACATAATGAATTAATGAGATGTCACAGTATTAGATATTTAAGAAAATTTAGATTATTCACTGCAGCATCTTCACATTGCTCACATCTTTCTATTGTGTAAAGGAGAGAAAAATGTGTTTTCTCTGTTAATATGAATTTCTCATTTTAGTAACCTTCAAATTGTATCTTGAGTAGATACAAGTTCTAGGGGAAAAATAACAGTATTTTGTGCAAGATACTTTGTTAAAGTATAGGAAAAGAACTATAAAGTAGTTAGTCAGATGTAATTATTTTTCAAAACAATGGCTATTCTGTTGTAATTTAAAAGCTTTAATATCATACTGCAATCTGTCAAGTACAATCTATAAGTATTGGCTTAGGTGCTGAAACTTACAAAGTTCAACGAATTAAAAACAGTAAATGATAATGAATCCAGGATTATAATGCAATTATAAAGGCCATTAAATTATTTAAGTTAACTAAAATGTCTCGGTAGAACTACTTGTAAAAATAATGTCAGTTATTAAATTGGTTTTACTTACATTAAAATAATTTATTTTATTTGTACAATCTCTAATAATTATTGTTATTAATTGCATTGTGATTCAGGTTTTACAAAATAATATACGTACCAGTTTTCATATTAATATCTTATAAAACTTTAATTTACATTTGACCTTCAACAAAAATATTCAATTTCCCATATTATCTACATCTGAACTAATTAAATTGTATATTGGATTAGTATGAAGAAATAAAATTAAATCTTTTCTTCTATAAATATTTCCACAAAAATTACTTAATTCTTATCCTTCTTTACCTATTGAAGTTTTCAATATTGTGTGTGCTATGAGGAAATTTAACATTTTAAGATTTTTTGCTGAATCACGAATGTGTTAAAAAAAAGGGTTATTTAAATTGAAAAGTCCACTAATAATTTTGTGTGTTTGTGAATCAAGTCATATTTTGGTTTCAAGATGTGATGTGTAAATTTTCAATCAATTTTTAAAATACTCCATTGCTTGATTTTATCAGAGCTTTAAATAATCTTTATCTACTACATTCTACTTTATCATCTCTTAGGTACTAGTATGGGAGCTGTGCCCCCAGAGAAAATTTTGGAAAGAATCTCATAGTCTTATGTAATTTTTCCCTCTTCAATATGTTTAATTGCTTATTTTCCCTTTTAAAACCTAATAATTTGGAAATTGTACATTTGTGGAAGAAGCAACTTGGCAACAGTGTAAATAGTAAAATTGTATTTATTTTTTGTACTATTAAAATTATAATTTCATTCCACTTGTACGTTTTATTCATTTATTAGTACAATATGTCATGTAAATTCGAAAGGTCACAAAAGTAGTTGGGCCCCCTCTTGTTTTTAGACTGTGCACTTGTGTGAAGGCAGGTATGTTATACTTTTACATCGACTGGTCTCAGTATAATTACCGTTTATGATAATTTATCAACGACAGTGATGTCACTTGGGCCGATCAGAAAATGACATTTAAAACCCGCGCAATACTGCTAATCTTTATGGATGAAGATACCTATTATTACCCTGAACATTTTGTGCTTTAAATAATATTATAAAATAACAATTATTATTCAAAGCTAATCTTTCACCACATTTCCGCCTTCGCGTGTACGTGCGACTTGCCCTGCGTTGCGCTCTCTTGTGGGGCGAAATCACCACATTCAGGTGTCTTCGCGAAAAACTAATTGGATCTCGTCGGCCCTGCTAACAAATTCCAAGACGTTTCAAGGTTGTCGGGGTGTGACTTCGTAACCTTGAAGTCAATTTGCAGAGCGACATTACGCGCTACGCGTCTGGACTCCGACTTGCCTTCTGAGGAGGTTAAAAGTCCATCTGCGAAGATAAATAGCATTACAAGCTAAATTTGTGGTGCTGCCGCGAAGTACTCCCCTCGTACTCCTGTTCTCCGTTGCGTGTAATACTTGGAGCTGTGCCGGCTGGGATCACCGTAGATTGTGTCTAGTGCATTAGGTATTGTGATATACCAGCAGACGGTGCGACAAGTGAATTTACGCAACAATGGCTCTTGCTTTTAAAGTAACACGAATGCTGGTGGGTGAGGCATATACTCTGCGTGGGACACTCTTGAAGGCATCCAGTCGATATGCTAGTTCGGGTATGTATGTTCGCGAAATGCTTATTGGTTGATACGAAATGAACAAAGTTTAATATTACTCTAACTAATGTTCCTGTTCTACTTCTATTTCCTGAAAGTTTTCGAAATTGTTATTAGCATTATTATTGATGTAGCCTAATCTAGAGGTTCCGGTCATGGGCTGGTCATTGGTATGATAAAACGCAATAAGTTATGTATTTTTTAATTTTTTTCAGGAAAAAATTATGAGTTTATTTTGACTGAGAAAGTAGGTGAAAAGAGTAATGTTGGTCTCATTACTCTGAATAGGCCAAAGGCACTCAATGCCCTATGTAATGGTTTAATGACTGAAGTGGGAGAGGCCATCGATTTGTATGAAAATGATGACACTGTTGGTGCAATTGTCATCACAGGTAGTGAGAAAGCATTTGCAGCAGGTATGAATTAATTCTACATACTGATCTCTTTGAGTGTAATTTCTTATCAGATTTGTATAATGTGTATCATTTAATTTTAGGAGCGGATATCAAGGAAATGCAGAATAATACCTATTCTCAATGCATAAGAGGAAACTTCCTCAGTCACTGGGACAGAGTTGCACGTTGCAGCAAACCTGTGATTGCTGCAGTTAATGGTTATGCTGTAAGTATTTTTGGTCTTTTCTTTGTACTGGCTCTTTTAGTTCTCATGAAGATGTTGATTCTCTCTGGTGGCCTGAAAATTTGTTATTTTATGTTATTATTTTTGTTAATATTTAGAGCATCGTGACACTAAACCACATGACTACAATATTTTAAATCTTGAAAATCCATTTGGATTGTCACTGATTTCTTCATTAAATTTTGTTAAGTACAGAAGCAAATTAAAACAAACTTCACTTGGGTCTACAGAAGAACATGCAAACTTATCGACATAAAAAAAGTAAATTGAAATAAATGTACGATCTTAAACATTTGTTTTCAATAGTATTCCAAAAGTAACAAATTGATAAAGAAATGAATTGACGTTATCACAACTGACATGTTCAGTATTCAAATAAAATATTAATTATAAACAATTTTTTGGTAACTGTATTTGATTAAGTTTTTTCTGAAAAGTTTTCATTTTTTGGGATCCCTGAAACGGCAAGTCACATGATAATCACCTAGTTGATTTCATATTTTTCCTACCTCTGTTTAAATATGGTAAACGTCACTGCAAGTGCATATTTTTTCATAAATGTGAAGGGAATGTTTAATAACAATGTTTTGCACTCTTTTGTCCCTTTAAAATTCATTGGATTGGATGTAACAAAAATAAGGTGAAGTTCTAATTTTGCATAAATATTATACAAACATATACATTTACAAATACATTTTTGCAAAGTTTTTAATTGTTTCTTTGTGTTTAGACAATTCTTCTGTTTGGTCCCTGCAATTCTTCCAGTCAAATTATTATTCTTTTAGTTTAGTTGTATGGGTCTAATTTTTATAGTGAAATTGTTGGTAATTAATTCATCACAAATGTTTGTTCAGAGTTACGACTTATGCTTTGATTATTACCATGTTCCAAGATTATCAATACCGTATATGTGATGTGAAGAGAAGATAAAGAGGAGTAAACAGATGACTCAGCAGGAGATACTACTATCCAGCTTACATAATAATTCTTGATCGTAGAGTGCAATCAGTGTGTTATGGTAAAGCAAAAAATTGATTTTTAATTCATAATGTCAAAGTTTTTTACCACATTGTTAAGCATTTCCCTGAAACATTTAATAAGACTAATTTGAGTATTCTTATAGAAACCTTAGTGATTTGTTTTATCAATTATGCAGGTTAAAGTTGAATAAAAAATATGAAAGGACCCTCAACTAAGAAAATTTTTAATTCACACACTTGTCTAGATACAATTTTATTTTAAACTAGTGGACCCGGCAATGCTTTGTTATTGCAGTGTATTATACATCACATACTACTGGTCACATGATTGTAAATCATGTTTTATGCTCTGCTGTAATTTTATGGTAAGCAGTAAAATTCTGATAAATTCTCACAAGTTTGGATTTGTTCTATGTCCTGGTTTGGACATGATTACCCAGAATCCTATTGTTAAAATGTTCTCCCTCAAACTTGGGCATGTGTTTGCATGAATCTAATGGAGAAATTTTATTTTTTTGCCTGAGATTTAAGTGATAATTCCAATATTTCACAATCGCAAGGGTTAAATACTTGTATGCTATAAAGACACGCTTAATTCTTGTTTTTGCGGCAGTTTGCATAGAGTTCAAGAGCATGTATGTCATCAACAATGTCCCCACATGTCAGATTTAATTCAAACTGCTCTTTAAACACTTCCATTGCTAATAAGAATAAAGTGTGAAAATTTTACCAAAATCAGTTGAGTATTTTTGGCATCTATGTGTAACACAGACAATGCACATTCCCTTTTATTTATGTATAGATAAATAATCATTTTGTAGAAATAAATAAAAGGATTTATTTTTTTACTCGGTATGCATGTTCATGATAAAAATTCAAAGAATGCTATTGTAGTGTAAAAAAATAAGATAATTTTCTCAAACAATTTTTTAAACAAAAATTATTTGCGAAAATGTATCATCTTAAACTCGCATATCCGAACAAAGTTCAGGATGGAGGCAAAATAAACCAAATAAAAAAATGCTTATTTGTAGAATAAAGAAAGGATTTTATAATTACTGTAAAACTGAACAACAAATAATAGAAACACAAGTTGTCAAAATGAAATGGTTATTGCGCTGGTAACTACGCAGTATATCACATGTTTCAGTAGCAGTAATTTTCACGTAAGCGTAAATTGCAAAATTGATAATCTTCTTTTGCCATAAATAACTGTATCTGCTTGATGATGCGATACGATTTATTTATTGGTTTCTTTGTTTGTTTATTTGCTTATTTATTTGTTTATTTATTTATTCATTTGCTTATTTCCAATCCTTAACTGGTTCTTTCATTATTAAATTCATTGAAATATGCTTCTATGTTGCAAATTGAACTCATCTTTAATTTGTAACTATTTAATCAGTTTAATTATACATCTTAATTCACGTTTCTTGTGTTCATTTCTGTGTGATGGTGACTATTTCTCATTTTTTATTTATTTATTTATTTATTTATTTATTTACTTACTTACGTCAAAAACAGTTAAAAACTGTGTATACTTGCTATGGGGAGAAGTTAATTTGAAGTTACATGATTAGCTTTACAGCTAGAAACAGGGTCCATGGGCCTTAATTCATGGTGGTCCTTCAGAGTTATGGAAAGAGTGACAGAGAATTAGTATGTATTTAAATTAATCCCCTCTCAATCTACAGACCGCTGCTTATACCACCTATGCCATTCATGAAATATAACTTTTTTGTTAGGTGAACTAACATGTTTAAGTCTGATTCTAGTTATAGTGTAGAATCTTTTTATAGCTTGGAGGTGGTTGTGAATTGGCAATGATGTGTGACATCATATATGCTGGAGACAAGGCAAAATTTGGACAACCTGAAATTAATATTGGAACAATTCCTGGAGCTGGTGGCACCCAAAGACTGACTCGTGTTGCAGGAAAGTCAAAAGCCATGGAAATTTGTTTGACAGGCTTGCCTGTTACTGCACAGGAAGCTGAAAAAATGGGTAAATTTTGAACCAAACTATATTAATCTTTTATTGTTTGACTGAGTGCTCTATTCTTGGTCATTGACAATTGGTTATCACCCAAGTAGAGAAGTGGATCCCTTTCTTAAAAAGGCTAGAAAAAAATACACTCGATGATGCACTGAGTGTATTTAAAGTGGATTCTACTGAGAAGGGTAGGTGCTGTGTATATGCAAAAGTTGCATTTTAATTTTCTTAATCTCTTAACTGACTGTGACAAAGTCCCTTATCATGAAAATTTTCTATATTTGTTGCTCAACAAGTTTGCTTATCTTGCTTTGAAAACTTTGTTGTTTTTGGAATTAGTGGCTAGGTCTTCATAATGTTCATCACATTATTTTTATTTTATTGGGTGGGCCAAGATAAAACTTCAATGCATTACTCTATTGTGTGGGAAAAGGTGATGCTCTGGATTAGTGTACACTGAAGAGTAAAAAAGTTGACTTTCTTCATGTATACCTTTAACTTTCATAGGTTTGGTAAGCAAAATATTCCCTGCTGCTGACCTGGTTAAAGAGACTGTTAAGTTGGGTGAAAAAATCTCAACTCATTCCCAATTAATAGTTGCCCTTTGCAAAGAAGCTGTCAATACAGGTATGTTAACAATTTTAGCTTTAGGTATTCTGACATAGGGCATTTTGAATAGGTGTCCTAATAAAATAATGTTCATAAAGTAATAAAAATTTGTCAACGAGATTGCTTCCGATTACTTTGGTTTATTAATTAATTAATTTACTTATTTCGAATAGCTCATCGCAATGTTTTATATTACAAGGTCCTTGAGTGTTAATCCTGCCCTGGTTACAATGTAATAAGTATTAATGTCGCGTGCTGCATATGTTTACAAGCTTTGAGAAGTGCAATATTTATTGTGCAAATTGATGATTGATTAGTGTTTCTATCAAAGTTTAGTTTAGCTTATCATAAACTAGTGATGTTTCAAAGATGAATAGGTCTCCTTTCAGGTGCCAAGATCAATATAAATTTTGGATTGAAGCAATCCTAAGAATTTTGCATTGCAAGTAAACTATCCCTTCTTTTTTGATACAATGAACATTAAAACTTAAAAAGAAAAAAGATATTGTGTAAAAGTGTCCTGTTAGTTTTCAATTTATGCTGGTTATACTATATTTTAAAGTACATAATTAAAAATAAGAAATAAAACATGTACTTTATGACATTAGAATCAGAAGATTTGGCTGCTTGTCTTGTAGGATATAGGTTCCCAGAAATGTAAAAGAATGTCCAAAAAGGTCTCTTTTGTAGATTAAAGCTTAGTAACATTACCTGTAGACCCACAGGGATCGTCTAAACAAATTTTATGGTTCAAGGATGCTCAGTTTGCGTTACTTGAGTTACCTCACACTTGCAAGAAAGGAGAATTACCAAGTTAATTGTGAAACTTTTAATAAATATTTTTATCACAACTATGTTCTAATGAAGAGTTACATTTCAGTGCTGATCATAAACCTTTTGTTTGGTACATTATTCATCATTGTGCTTCTTGTTAATTCATTAAAAAAAGTTGATCAGAGAAATTATACATCTGATGATTAGCAAATAATTATAAATTTGTATTCTTTTTACAGCTTATGAAACCACACTTAAAGAAGGACTTCATTTTGAAAAGAGAACATTCCATGCCACTTTCTCAACAGTAAGTAGCATTTAAATTTTGTAATATCGAGCTTGAATTGACCAAACAAGTTTCTACTTTGTATTTACATTTGTCATTGTACATTTTAAGTGAGAGTGACCAATGTGAAAAATGTTTGTTTCAGTCGGACCGTAAGGAAGGAATGACTGCATTCATTGAAAAGCGAGCTCCTAAGTTCACTAATAACTAAGAATTGCCAACTGAAAGTAAGAAGAACGAATGGACTATTATCATGAAGTTAATCATTGTTTACAATCTCATTTGATTTTTAGCATTATTTTGAACAGAGCAAATAATACAATTTGAGAGTTTAATGCAGTTTTTATTGAAATAATTTTTGTATGTCATATTATGAAATATTTGCAATAATAAATATTTTTGTACAATACAAATTATTTTCATATGCAGTATCATTGCAATCATTTAATAGTGAATGGTGGATTGAAATGAATAATGAATGGAGGCTATTGTATTGTACAATACAACCTTTCCCAAAAGTTCAGGATTAATAACAACCTCCACCCTCACCAAGACAAACTGGATCAAGAGGTCGATGAGGCAACAAATCCACTTGATTTTATTTACTACTATCAAAAATCTGTAAAAGCATGTTACATACGAGATAGAAGTGTAGTCTGCACACTTTCATGAGCTCCAGGATATCTACTCCACCCTTTTCTATATATTGTTGAATAATGAATGAGAATACCAACAAAGGTGAACGATGTGTAAAAACTTGACACTTTTTCTCCTAAAAAATAGAAAATGTATTTGCATTAGTAACTAAAGGTTTGATTTCGTAGTACTGCTAACAAAATAGCAACCCACATGCCTGCCTCTACTTCTACCACAAGCAGAAAAAGAAGAGCTCAACGTATGTGAACAGATAAAAAAGCTTCATTTATGTTTTGAAGCAAAACAATGGGCTATGTCAGCATTTGCTCAATAGATCAAAGGAAACTATGAAAAATCTGATAGAGATAGGGCCATTGACCCAGAAACTGAAGTGGAATACTTATTTCAGACATATTTAGATTTTTAGAATTATAAGAATTAGGGAGCAAATGTCTATGACTTAGCATATTTTCATCCATTGCTTCAGTGCATAGCTAAGTGAAAAATCTTTATACGTGGTTATAATATGTTTCTACATATATATTAATATATTAGTGCATATTTGCCTGAATTTTCCTGTTTGTGCATATTTGTGTAATAGCATATTTTGTTAAAATTGAGACCTCTATAAAATATATTATCTTTTTATAGACTATTTATTTGTGAGCGTTCATTGATTCGAAAGAGGTTATAGTTTGCGATTTTCGTGTTTTGTTTCCTGTAGATGATAAAATACTTGTACAAATATAGGATATTTCTTCTTAACATATGTTTAAACCAGTCAGAAGAAATAAGACATAATGTACTTCACTATGGTGAATATTTACTTCAATTACTTCTCTTGTGAAGAAGGATAGATTTTATAGTGTTTGTACAAAAATATATCTTTTCATTTGAACCATGCTTCTGAATTTTATCAAGAATGGTTTTTAGAGAAAATGAAATTTGGTTAATATTAATTGCATATTAAAGTGCATATTTAATAATTTTTAGGTCATAAAGGCATATTTTTAAAAGAATATTTCAAGATTTTTTTAGGGCATAAAAGTTTTCTCCCTAATAAGAACAATTGTTCACTAATGCATTAAATATCATTATTAAAATAAATATTATTTTTCTTTTTGAAGTTCAGTATAGTCTCTAATTGTATAAAAAAAATTTGCAGTAGAAATGATTTTACTTGGCACTTAAACTTGTGTATCAATTTTAATGGCTTAATTTCAACTGAAAAAGAGTGAAAAGTAATTTGCATGTACTTATGTAGATTTCTTGTAGTGAGTGATTGTCATGATTAATATTATTCAGATGGTATGTTTTCTAATTACAAATATCTGTATTGTTTGAAAATATGTTCCTATCTTTACGTCAGTTTTGCCAGTAACTGCATATTCTTGTATAAACCAACAAAGCAATGGTAGGACTGAAAGCTCAATGAACAGAGGTTTGCAAGAATCACAGGCAGGGGTGGATCTAGTTGATCATTTTGGAAGGGGAGTCACCCTAGATTTTTGTTAAATTATAAACATTTTTGCTATTAAACTTTAATATTTTTGTAGTGTAAGATACTATACAATATTTTTTAATGTAATTACATAATTCTAACAAATAATTATTTAAATCAATTTTGCCAAGTAAAAGAAGGTAACAAACAAAAACTCTAGGCCTTTTGTGGGTGAGGGTGGAGCCCCCTTCCCCTGATCCATTACTGATAACAGGGATGGTGCTAGCTTATTGTACATTCAATTTATTAATGCAATGAAAGTCTGTGTACTCTAGGATATTTTCCCCCAGAATATGTTTTCAAGCGAGAATGTACATTTACAAAATGCAGACAAAAAGCTATTTGAAGGCTGACTGAAGTAAAAACAAAGAATTCTGAAGGCATAATATAATGAATTTAATTTAGTATTCACCTGAAAGTTTTTCCTGATTACCAGCGATTTGTATACATAATAGCATTTGGCAATAATGCAGCAAATGATGTCATAATGTTTCTCAAACTCAGTTTTCTGTGAAAATGAGAAAAAAATGTGCATTTTCAGACATGCTCAAATGTTATTTTTGGGGAAACTACTTCAAATTTATCATTCACATGTTTTGTACGGAATGTGCTAAATGCACTGCATTTTGAAATACTCCAAATAACATTTTCTTAAAAATGGCTCTAAATTTGTCAATGAAAATGTTCATATAGTGCCAGATTTTACCTTTCTAAAATATTCTTAGTCTTATTTTTACTTTTAGGGATCCGAAAAATTGAGGAAAAGTGGAAAAAATGTCTTTTAGGTGCCAATAGACGATAGCTGAGAAGACGGGGAGGGGGTGGAAGGCAAAACCGAAAAAATAGTCTAGACTGAAGAAATAAGGAAACCAACTAGAACGAGAGAGTCTATGCCATTCTGTTGCATCACTGTATCTCCCCCCCCCCCCCGCAGACATGGCAAAGGACGCTCAGAAAAGGCGAAGTTCTCATTTTCGTTGAACTCTGAATGTTCGAAAATAGCAAAAGTTAGAAATAAGACGAGGAAGTATGTGCTGTTGTATAGTCACTAGTAACTTCTCGTATATGTAGGTATATACGGAGTATATCAATAATGTACAACTTTCCTACATAAACTTAATTATTTTAATTAACTTAATATATGACTGTATTTAATATATCACTTTCTCTCTTCTTGTGTAGGTACAGAATATTCTCTAACGCTGCGGCGAAATGTGCCGATTCTTCTACAGAAAAGCTCATAAGATCATATAAATCCGCAGTTTCTGGCTTCTTAGTACTGAAAAAGGACTATATCAGTTGGTATGTCTGTGGTGAACAACACTATCGCCTAAAATATTGGTATAGTAGTTTTCTTTGCCAAAATGAATTGCCAATTAATTGTCACGTATCTTCATGGCGAAAACGGGTGAGAGCTGGGCGCCAGCACACATGTAAGTTTAATTCACGTCATCGCTCTACGGAAACCCTCAGATAATTTATTGCTAATTAATTGCCCCAATTTGGAATTAATTGCCACATATCGTGCCAAAAACGGGTGTGAATGGGGCAGTACTAATTTATTACCCGAAAATGAAATGTATTACTGTTCCCGTTTATAAAATAAATATTGTTATAACTGCATCGTTATACAACAACGATCTATTCTAGTATTAACTTATGCCTTTTTGATATGGACAGAAATTGAGGTATAATATTAAGTAGCTCTTACTAGTGCGAGAAAGAACATGCTATTGTAGAGTAGGTCGAAAAAGTGCTGGAAAAAACAGGCCAATTCTCGCTAAGTTTATTAGTTACAAGAAACGGCGAGCAGTCTTCCAATCTGAGGCAGCTGAAAATCATTAAACCGTGAGGACCTCACGCGCCAGCGCCTGGATGTGCTGCACGCTGCGCTCACGTGGTTTTAGCTGCGGAATGTCTGGACGGAATGCGGGCCAATAGTGATAAACTCAGGTAACAGACGCTTCCGCGTCCATACAATGGCTGAGCTTAGCAATTCAATATCTTGGGGGCGCTCCTCCTCCTCCTCCTCCTCCATCTCTCTCTCCTCTCGCGCTCTCGCTCTTTCTTTTTCTCTCTTGCTCTCTCGCTCTTTCTCTTTTTCTCTTTCTCTCTCTCTCTCTCTCTCTCTCTCTCTCTCGTACATTTTCCTTACTCCTTTCATTAAGCCATCTTTATCACCTTCTTTTAAGTCATATGCAGTCGACGGACGTTTTAAGAATTTACCGTGTACCCAATGCAAAGTGTCTTCTACACTCCACAGTCACCGCTACCTGCATGTGTCCGCTCCCCTTCCCTGCCAGCCCTGGTCGATGTAGACAGCGCGCCGAGTATTTCTAGAAACTGTTTTTTACGTCGCGCATTTAAATGCACAATCTCTCCTTTGCCATCACTCGAGATTCAGAAAATTGTAATGAAACATAAATTTCTCGCACTTCTCATTAGCAAAACATGGCTAAAAAATCTTTATATTCTCAAACAGTCAAAGTCCCCGGATACCGTTTTGGAGACTTGATAGAAAATCCAGCGTGGCTGCACATTGCGGTGGTGTCGGTATCTATTTACGTGACGACATTAGCTGCAAAGTTATTTTCTCTTCAGCAAATCATAAAGACCACTTCACGGAATATTTCATTGCTGAAGTTAATCTCTCAAGAGAAAAGTGTCTCTTGGCGGTAGTTTATTCTCCTACAAAATCAGGCAATATCGTCGATCTAGACGACTTACTCGCTTCCTGTGTCACTAAATACGAGGACATTCTTATAATGGGCGACTTCAATTGTAACTTACTGAAAAAATCTGCTTCATCCGACAACTTTGTTCGTTTTTTTCGTAACATTAACCTAACGATTCTTCCTCTAAAGGCAACTCACATTATAAGAGGTACTGAAACATAGATAGATCATATCATATCATAGTGTCAAATCCAGAAAGTGCGTGTTCTCATGGACAATTATCTGTTCCAGGAGTATCAAAACATGACCTTATCTACGTATCGTATAATCTAAAGTGTCCCAAATACACACCGAAAGTAAAATATCGAAATTATAAAAACTTCGACGCAAATTCCTTTGTTTCTGATGGATTTACGGTTCCTTGGAATCTTGATCAAAATGAAACCACGCTCAATGGTAAAGTAGCAGTATTTACAGAATTGTTGAATGGACTAGTAAGTAGACATATGTCACAAAATACGTCACGCGTGACACGTCCCGCAGCTCCGTGGATATCAGGTGAAATTCGCCAAATTATGAGTTATAGGGACACTGCGTATAAAGTTTTTCGGAAAACAAGAAACAACAAAGACCATGCTACTTATAAAAAACTTAGAAATCACGTCACCCAAATGTTGAGAAATGCCAAAATTAAATATTATCACTCCATTTTTCAAAATAACTGTGATTCTAAATTGCTCTGGAAAAAACGAACTATAGGTGTTGGAAATATTCGAAATTCAACAGAAATAAATGTAAATTCCGTGGTGAAGAAGGGGTCCAGAATTCCGTAGTTCAGAAATAAATGTGCCAATTGATTCGCTAAATCATGCTTTTGTTGAGCTTACGCAGCCAATATATCCATTCCTAAAATCTCGAACTTTATCCTCGCTGCGAAGCACAGATATTAGTATTACAGACACTTTCTACTTCGCGTCAGTAACCCCCACCCATGTCACTAAAATCATTTTAAGTCTAAAATCAAACGCCTCCGATTCCGACGGAATCAATGCAAAGTTGCCGAAGCTCGAAGCTGAAGTAGCACTCCCAACAATTGCAGACATATACATTTCTCGCTAATGAGCGGCCCCTTG